TAAACATTGGAACAGGCTGCCCAGGGAAGTGGTTGAGTCACCATCCCTGGAAGTATTTAAAAGACATGTAGATGAGGCGCTTAGGGACATGGTTTAGTGGGCATGGTGGTGTTGGGTTGACAGTTGGACTCGATCATCTTAGAGGTCTCTTCTAACCTTAATGATTCTATGACCCATTTCCCTTCACAGAGGTTATAATTAAGAACCTTATAACCTCTGGAAGTGTTGCTAGGGCACACTTGCAAGTGGTGAGAGAATTCTTAATCAATCAGCTTCAGATATCTCATTAAGGTACATATTCTTCCCAGCTGCACTTAAAAGGGGTGGGGGGCAAGGGAAGGAGGGGAGGGAGAGTGCGCGTGCATCCTTCCCACCACAAACATTGAGTTTCTGCTTTAAACTGCATTCTGTGGGAGCCTGTCTCTTCACTGATTATAAATGGAGCCTAAAGGGAGACTGTACCACTAGCTTTGGGGGTTGTCCCCCTCCAACCTGTCTTCTGCAAAAAGAAATTCCAAAAAGAACAGATACAGACACTTCCTTGAGTTAAATGACAAGAAAAAAAAATTAAATGTGGCTCTGAACACAGAGAGCATTCCCACATTAAACTTATATTTGGAGACATTGTTGACTTAGGAATTAAGGGTATATCGAAACAGAATTAAATATATCAGTTGCTAATTATCTTTTTGACAGAAATGAAAGCTGGCTTACAGTACGCCTATAATCTCTGCTTCTTGCTTGCAGAAAAACATTCACATGACAGGCTTCCACCCTTACCAGAAAAAAAAAAACCTAAAAGGCTGCTCGTGAATATGTGCTCCCTTCTCTTGCAAAGGAACAAGACAGTAGCAGAAAGATGATATTGTACACTGAAAACTAGCTTCCATTACTCCACCAGTCAAACAAGCTTGTACTGTAGAAGAATTCAGAGCAAACATAACTGTACTACTGCAGGGAGTCAAAATCAATTCTCAAAAATCAGGTTTGTTTACTTAGATTACAGCACTAAGTAGTCTGTGCTCTAATTTAATTGGTTATTCCATTTTGCAGTGTTGTATCAAACACAAGGCATTCAAACTGTACTAGTTGCAGAAAGTCTAGTGGCTCCTATTGTTTGAATGTGCTATTCAGTAATGGAACAAACACAGCTTGCTCGTATAAACATCAATAAAATTGTACTTTAAACCAATGCTGTAGTCTGAATGCCAAAGCGATAAATCCAGAGGAAAAAGTCAGAAATGAAGCTGAACAATGTATTTCCTTCCTTTCCCAAGCGAGGTACAACCACACTGAATGGAAGGGGGAAAAAACCAAAAAGGGTGTCAGTTTTCTCCCATCCCTCAGACAGTCAACAACTTATTCTGTAATTGCCAAAACTGACATGTGTGTATCAAAGAATTTACTGTTTAAATTTCTGTTCTGTTACTGGTATTCCTGTATGACTTGACATTGAACTATTCTTGTTTCTTGATTAGGAAATTTCATTCCCGCAAAACTTTGGCAACAGAATTATTTTCTATTCTGTTTTCCATTTTCAATAAAGGCCGTTTTATCTTCAAAACATCTTCTTCTTCAGCATGAAATACTAGTGTGTACCCAGTTTAAACTCTGGCTATATAAAGTGTTCAGTTGTACATCAGGAAAGAGATATGTCTTTGCTTTTTTTGTTTTTTAACCACAACATAAAACTGCAGTTAAGGCAGCAGAGCAGTGAGATGTAGGCTTTTTGTTGCCCAAGGGAAAACATAAAATGCTATGTATGCTGATGTATTCTATGCCCCAGAAATTTTAACCCCAAAGAAGTAACAACATGTTTCTCTACTAAACACAGTAGACAAAGATCTGGTCAGCTGTAATACCCAGAATGCTTGCTGAATGCTTCCTACTTTGCAAGTCCCCCACGTCTAACATTTCCCTTTTTCTATGCTGTGCATTGCTCAATCTCTCAAGTCAGACAACCTGCCCTGAAACCAAGAATATAACAACATCCCTGTGAATTTACACATTTGTTTTAAACTGGTACAGCAACAGGAAAAATATTCTTAATAAGACTGCATTTTTGCAGTTATCAGGAAGTGAACTGATGAATAAAAAAAAAAAAAAAGAAAGCTGAGCCATATATTCTTGTTTATTCCCCATACAGAACAGCATCCAATTCAAAGTTAACAATTGCATGATTTTCTGAGTATCTCTTTCAATAGTGGTTAGGAGGGCTGTATCATTTGCAGTTATCAGGAAGGTAACTGTAGAAAAAAAAAAAAAAAAAATGAAAGCTGAGCCATATATTCTTGTTTATTCCCCATACAGAACAGCATCCAATTCAAAGTTAACAATTGCATGATTTTCTGAGTATCTCTTTCAATAGTGGTTAGGAGGGCTGTATCAGGCCTACACTAACCTATATCAGGCCCTCCTAACCACTGTTCCACAAAGTAGAACTACCTGCACATTACATTTTGGTTTGGTTTTTTAACTTATTTCCCCTACTAGACTGGCTCCTTTACGCAGTTCATGATACCAAGACCTTGTACAAGTGGTGACTATTACACCATATGATATCAGAGGCAAAGAGCAACCATGTTTAGCAACAAGAATATAATTCAGCTCATTATCATGACTTGTGAGGTAGTAAGATAACCCAATTACCATTTCTCATGGTGCTTCTTAAAATATGAAGGGAAATCTATATAATCAAGTCACGTAGAAGTATGTTGCCTACATTTTAAATCTAGTGACGAATAGAAGTGCACAGATTGAAAGTGTTCCTACAAGCCAGACTATAAATGATGGATTGACTGATAGACATTTGAACAACTAGATTACTAACAGTGTTTACTCACATATAAAGAAGAACAGTTGGCAAAGTATAGGATTACTTTCCTGTTTACAAAATAAGAGTTAATATATCACATTTGTGCCTTTTAGTACTCTTCATGAAAAGGGAAGTGGTACATAAAAATGTATACAAAAAGCTGGAGTATAAATCTCTTTTAAACAAAAAAATAATCAGTCTTTAGTTCTCATTTACATGGATATATGAAAAACAGGAAGGAATGACATCAGCAAGAAACTGAAATTTGACCTGATGTTCTTCCAACCTCAATCATATAAAGAAGTTACTAGATTGTGCAGATTCTTTTTTTTTATTCACACTTGCTAAGCCTTAGTATCTGCCAATTTGGTGGAAGACATAAAAAAATTTATTCCTCAAGCTCCATGAGAGAGTTACAGAAGCTGCTGCTCCGCTTTCAATCAGCCGAAATGCTATTATAACAAACAGTTCTTGTTTTGTTGTTCTCCAAATTTAACAGCCAAGACTTAGCGATAGGACGAGAGGAAATGGCCTCAAGTTGCGCCAGGGAAGGTTTAGACGGGACGTGAGGAAAAATTTCTTTACTGAAAGAGTGGTTAAACATTGGAACAGGCTGCCCAGGGAAGTGGTTGAGTCACCATCCCTGGAAGTATTTAAAAGACATGTAGATGAGGCGCTTAGGGACATGGTTTAGTGGGCATGGTGGTGTTGGGTTGACAGTTGGACTCGATCATCTTAGAGGTCTTTTCCAACCTTAATGATTCTATGATTCTATGACTTCAATATTCCTTAGAAAAAAGCCACAGAAATATTTGAGAGAAAAATAAAACCTTGTATCCAGATGTTCACTTGCAACTCCATATGCTTCTTTGAAAAGTTCATTTAAATTAACTGCTCTACAAGCAGCAGAACTAACAAAGCTTTTTTAGGAATCACGTCTTTTATTCACCAGCCAGTCAATATATTCTCCTCAGTGTACCCACATTTTTGCTGGCAGCCCTGGTAGACAAAACATTCTAAAGCAGCCCAGACTTGCACACAGCTGGCCAGGCAGCAGAGACCACGCTGACAGGTCTGCTGGCCAAGTCACAACATATACAGCAACAGTATTCTCCATCCTTGTCCCAGGCAGCGCTTATCTTTGTGTCCCTTCTATTCAGCCAGTGATGTTGACAAGCCTGTAAGTACTAGAGCATTTCACAGTTGTAGCCCTTTCCCAGGTGCTCAGAAGGGTTTTTGGTGGTTTTATAGGAAACATGAACTAACAGACAAACCATCACTATTTTGTGACCCCAAGCAGTCAGGCTGGAAATGGCAATTTAGAAAGGCACATATATCATTCTCTCAACAAAACTGGTCAGAAACTACACTAATATCTGCATGTAAAACTATGTTCTTCAGGTTTTATAAACCAAAATGCTCCTCAGCCGTAGCACTGTAAATTCTACTGCCTTAAGGTATGCAGAGAAAGTACCAGAATACCAAGTGATACAAATGACCCAGCAAATAGACCGTGGTTAAAAAACATGCTGAGTACAAACAACACAGAAAAAACACTACTTCCTCTCCTAAAGCTCAGTAGTTGTGCAGAGCTGACAAAGTAAAAGGAAACAACACTTTGCTATTTTTATTTAAATAAATTGCTTATTATTGTGCTATTTTTATGCAGCTGCTTCTCAGAGCTCTTTTTTTTTAACGCTACTTTCACACTTTGCATTTAAAAAAATCTTTCATTCAACATTTGAAAAACAAAGAGAGGTAATTGATGCATAAAATTTACTTTAATATTTTCCTTTTAAGTTATTGAAACCTATTTACAAACTAAAAATGTCTTTTCTTCGCTAAACTGTGCAGGACTACAACAACATAAAAAACAAGTAAGTGTAATTAAAATGGTCTAAAATTCAAAACACTGTACTTTAAAGCAAGGTCTTAATCTAGAAATATGCTACTATTTAGATACAGTATTGTATTAAGAACTGAAATACAGATTCACAGACAAACAAAGTCAGTCAAATACCTTTAGCCTCCAATTATCTCCTACTTCTGTTTTGATCCTGTTCAGCCAATTTTCATCAAAGTAAGCTGGATCTCTGAAACACAAAAAATGTAGAGTATTCATTAAAAACACGTTACAGAAACTGTGAGGATACCTTAGTGATTAAGCCCCTATCTCAGGCTGAGGTTACTTAAATGACTACCTCTGTACCCAACACATGGCCTGCATATAGTAGTTCAGAATCCTGTTACTACTCACTTTTCCAAGACCTTGCACCCTGTTGACAGCATGGCTTCATTTGTGTGCCGTGAGTAGCCAATACTTTTGAGAAAGCTGCTGTATTTGGAATGCATTTTGCCAGTTTCTCCCTCTGTAAATTCTTCTTCCTCTAATTCATCAGCCAGTGCTGGAGCAGTATTTGCTTGCATTGCTTGAAAGTGTTACAAAATATGTTTCCACATATTACGGATCCCTACTGCTATACACTGCTTACAACTATTCAACTTCAAGATGGGAAGCTTGAGACCAAACAACCGTATGTTGACTTCATACTGTGAGAAGAGTTAAAAAGTATCACTGAAGTTAAGTATTTACTACTGAGAACACACTTTACTATTATTTCATCTACCAAACACTATCAGTTTTTGCAAATCTCTTTTCACAGTAACCCTAGACAAACCTTTTTGTGAACACCTTTCCTTAAAAGTTTTTCTATCTTCTGCACTTTTGATGAGGCAATCAAGATAAAGAACAGAACACCTACTGCTTGTAGAGTATAATTACATTTCTATAAACTTCTTCCCTCTCTTCCTTTTTCTTGCAAGCACCTCCCATAAGTTGCTTCTTCAAGACAACTCCCAAGACTCTTTTGCCCCCAAATTCCAAGATCATCTAAAAGGCTAACATTTTCTACTGTTCACTTAAATCAAATTTTCCTTATATCATACAGAATTTTGAAAATGCTATGATCAGAACTAAGGAGAGAGAATGCACTACAAATAATTGGTTTTAAAGGAGTAGGTCAACATAATATAAGGAAAGGCTCATATTTCATCCAGCATATGAAGTTAATATAGTCAGGGGAAAAAAGAAACACCTTTCTTTTTTTGTAAGCATAAGGCTCTTAAGAGTCAGTGTGGTAGGCCAGGTCAGAGTTTCACGGGAAATATTCTAATTTCTGGACTTACGCTGCTGCATTTGCCACCGAGTACTATTAGATTTACTGCTGTATCCTTTACAGATAGAATGGTTCTGGACTGAGCTCTTTTTTTAACGGCAAGATGCCATGAGATCTTTCGGTAAAAGCTCAAGAAAACTATGAATGTGTCTGGAGATTCAAATGACATCTGTATCATATATGCTGTAAACCAGCAATTACATCAGTACTAATATTAGGGCACAGACTCTATAGCCACACTTTGTACCTGATGCACAGTATCTCCTATACTCCATCTTCCCCACAATGTCTTCTTCACAATGCATCAAGGTCTGCAAGTAGCCCATGATACAATACACAGCAACGGAGAGAGATCACAAACAGCAATGTTTCTCTACTGACACATTCCAATTGCTATTTTTACACATTCTTTTACAGATTCTGGTGAAGATTACGGCATATTTCCTCTCCTCTGCATGACATCTGCAAACATATAGCTGGAAGAACAGCTTTAATTACTAGTTAAGTTGATGACTCCAAATTACTCCCATTCAAAAACAGTGCAGTTCTAGCACAAATGACAGAATCTTAAACTATGAAACAGAAAAAGCAATGTCTTAACCAGAGTTTCATGTGGTTTTGAAATAGACGTTTTCAAATAGCTTTCAAATGGCCTCTCTGCCCTCAGAAGATAGGTAGACCTAAGAATGAAATTGATTCGAATACATACAAGATCTACTAGAGATGAAGGCGGCTCACATTCAGCTTTTACATGAAACCAATGGCTCTCCTTGCAGAAAGTCTTGATTTGCCTAACTTCCACTCAACCACAACAAAATCATCTGCACAGTAACGAGGAAAAAAAAAAAAAAAAAGAGAGTTCAAGCCCCATGTAGTCCCACTTGATTCCATTTGAGGTGTGGAGTCCAAAAAGCACCCTAGTATCTTTCAGACGGGTCTTCTGGGAATTGCCAAGTAAGCTTTGCTTACAACATACTCACAACTATGAAGTGTTTATGCAGCTGAGTGAGAAAGCAGATATGCCTAATTACCTGTGCTTCACCAGCAAAAAAGACCAACAGGACTTTCTAAAGGACTGTATCTTATCATTTTAAGGATTGCACTTGGTCACTAACATCTTCAGCTGCTTCAAGGCTGCAGTGCCATGAATATGCCAATTCTTAACTTACCATTTTCATTGTAGATAATGACTCTAAGAAGCAACATGGGTAAGCATAAACAACTGCCCACAAGCAGAATTATATTTGGACTGACTGGATGGCTAATATTGCATACCCAATTTTCAACAATAAGGGCATCAGCTGAGGAAGAGTAACACGATTTCAGGGTCAGATCCAACTCATTCCACTCTGGAAGTCTGTACTTCAATAGCAACTAAGCAGCTTTTCTCAGTGACTACTGCAATAAAAGTAACACATGGACCAGCAACTGGCCTTCACTGTCTTGATGGAAGTCTTGGGCTACCTACATCTTTATATATGTCATCAGACATATATAAGGAACATCCCTGAGAATTAAATCTAAACTCAGTGTGGTAGTCCTCTCCCACAGATCCCATTCATTTTTTCTTTTTAAGTATACAAACCTCATGGAAGTATCCAAGGGTCCAGCAGCTGATAAGCAATCCACTCTAAATCATCAACATGTAACAGTGGTCAGAACAGTACCAACAATTCTCTTTACAGCACCTCCATGCAGATTACACAATAATTAGTAGCATATTGCAAAAACACTTTGCCAGGAATACAACAAGCAGAAAAGCAACAGGTTGGGTATCAACAGCAAGCAAATCTAGAATGATCATCCTTTCCTCATCCATAAATTACCTCAGAATCATTCCTAGTGTACCATTATAATTTCATTTCTGTCCTCGAAAGACCAGTTAAGGTTCAGAATTAATACCAACAGCAATGCTTTCTCTCTCTATCAAACTAATGGAAATCGAATCTGAAAAAAAAATTTCCATCAGAATTTCTACAAATACATTTTAAAAGGGGTGTCCAGACATTGGGTCATTCACAGCCCTTGCTGCGAATAAGTCTCCCTCTTATCATGATTCAATCATACTCAGAGTTCTTTAACTCCCTTAGTCCATGTCATTTTGAAAGATGCTGTCATTTCTCACAGCGTTTGAAAAAGCATCACCTAAGCAAATATGAAAATGTGTGGTTGAGAACTGAGCAGCTGTGATTACAAAACCTACCAGCTCATTTTGAAGAGGTACTGCACTAAACAAGGGCAGCAGATAACTGAATGGAGCATCATCATTACCATGAGATGACTTGTTTGAACCAAGCATTTTGAATTCAGTAAGCTCCTGAGCCTAGATCCAAACTTGGACAATCTCTTGCACTGGGTAACTTTCCAGGTTTATAAAGGTATTTCTGTATCAGTTGATTGCTGCCTAGTATCTGAATAGTACTGCAGATAACTGGGACTTTTCTTCAGAGCACAAGATACTTATGCAGTTCTTAATGCTGTATCACTTCATGTGATGTTGTTTTCAGCAGTGCTCATTTATACCATCTCCATCTTATTCTGTATGCAAATTTTCCTTTATTTAAGCAATCATCTCTCCACATCATACATGCCAAGAGACAGAAATATTCTTCTGAAGAAAACCAACCCACAGAGCATGTAGTATAACTCATGATTATTACTCATTTTAACAGTGGTACAGTAAGCTGCTTTAAGAAATGTCTGTTTACAAAAATTTCCCTCCCCCAGCGATATACAAAAGCAAGGTTTTTGTGTTCTGCATGTGTCAAAACATACACAGCACGCTGCAATGTATAATATAAGAAATGAATAATTCATTAAGTGGGGCACAATGCACAGATGACAAATGAAAATATATACCATCTCTTACATTTACCAAGGCCGGTATGACAGACAAAGAAAGAATTAAAACAAGAGGGACACCTGGTACTAAACAGTCTCCAGAGTGGGATGAAAGGATGGTAGCACAAAACAGGGAATCATGCTGTTCTAGGGATACCAATGGACAGTGAAAACACAAGTAACATCAGTGAAGGCTACAAAAAAATGTGAAGAAAAAGAGGATGTAATTCGGAAGCAAGCTATGGTACTTCTATCTGCTCTAAACAGCATAAGCTACATGATTTTAGGCAGACAGTCTACTCAGACAGTTCAAATATTTTCTTTTTCTTCCAATCTTTACTCCTAGAGTACAGCACTCTGTAAAATAATCAACACTGATTGTGTACAGGCATCTTATCTTACTGTATTTCATACCAATTCTAGTCAGAGGGACCAGTAACCTACACATCTGAACAGAAACGAACAGTGAATCTTACAGAATAATACAAAAAATTACACAAAAAAAGAGAAGCTAAAGCACAGGCTGAATTTCTTCCTCCGAGATAACATAGTTAGCACTGGAGAATTCCATTCAATGGTACTTTAACCTGAAATTCAAAGATAATGGTTTTATGATAAAAAGAAAGTGTGTTTTATGGATTTACCAACACCTGTTTATTAACAACTGAATCTGTAAGCCAAATGCTCATGCTTGAATTCGTGGCATTGCTGAAAGACTGCCAAAGCTTGTCCAGCCCTCAGATTATTACTCCTTCTGCTCTCCCACCTGGGCACCAGCTATACAGCTAGGGAGACCTGGAAAGTACCAAGTGTGATTACGTGGCTCTGGAAGCTATGGTCAAGGCCCAAGTGGTGTTCTCCCCAGTCACACCAGTTAGCAGGAAGGGCTTGAGGAGCAGACAGATCCCGCAGGTCAACAACCAGCTGTGAACTGGTGTTGGCAGCAGGGTCTTGGTTTCTATGACCACAGAACCCTCTTTGAGAATCAAGGACTGCTTGGAACAGATGGAACCCACCTGACTATGGTGGGCAGAAGCATCTTTGCCAACAGGCTGGCCAACCTGGTAAGAACAGTTTTAAACAAGGAACAATAGAGAAGGGAAAATACAACCAAACATCAAGCAACAAAGTAGTGGACTCTGTTGGCAAGCAAAGCGTGTGGGACAACATGAACAAGAGATACCTCATAGTCAACAAAACAGGGCTGAAGTGGGGTCACCCCAAGCATATGCACAAAAAGAAGGAAAGGCCTATGGAAAAACATTACAGGGAAAGCTCTCATTCTTGGGAATCAACAAGACTGGATGCACATGTGAAGTGCCTGTGCGCTAATGCATGGAGAACAAACAGGAGGAAACAGAGCTCTGTGTGTAGTTACAAGGCCACAGTCTCATTGGGATCATGAAGACATGGTAGGATGGCTCCCATGACAAGGTTGCTGCCATGAATGAATACTGGCTCTTTAGGAAGAACAAGCTGGGAGGGCAGTGACAGGGAGATGCCCTTCATGTGAGAGAGCTGCCTTGGGATGGATGATGAGCCAGCTGAGAGATTATGGATCAGGATGACTAGGCAGACGAACATAGGTGGCATTGTTATAGGTGCCCGCTACAGACCACCTGATCAGGATAACATCATCATGGACAAACTGATGAAGCATGGCCTGGGTAAGTGGATAGTGACATGGGTTGAAAAGTGGCTGAACTGCAAGCTCAAAGGGTTACGAGCAGCAGCATGAAGTCCAGCTGGAGGCCAATCCACTAGCCGCATACCCAAGGGGTCAATACTATTAAATGTCCTTAACAGTGACCTAGATGATGGAACAGAGTGGAAGTTTTCAGGTAATACAAAACTGGAAGGAGTGTTTGATACACCTGATAGTTATGCTGCTATTTGGAAGGACCTTGACAGGCTGGAGAAATGGGCTGACAAGAACCTTATGCCTTTCAGTAAACGTAAGTGCAAACCCCATGCACCAGTATATGCTGGGGGCCAACTGGTTGGAAAGCAGCTTTGCAGAGACGCAGCTTGGTAGAAACCAAGCTGAACACATTCCAGCAATGTGTCCTTGTAGCAAAGAAGGCCAACCACATCCTGGGCTGCACTGGGAATAGCACTGCCAGCAGGCCAAAGGAGGTACTACTCAGCTCTGGTGAGACCACATCTGAAGTGCTGCGTCCTGGGCTCCCCAGTATGAGAGAGACGTGGACATACAAGGAAGCTCAGCAAAGGGCAAATAAGATGATTAACAGACTGGAGCATCTGTCATACAAGGTGAGACTGAGCAAGCTGTGTTTGTTTAGCCTTAAGAAGAGAAGGCTCAGTGGGATCTTATCAATCCTGTGTATAAATACCTGATAGCTCCTTCTTCTTTATACCCTCACATAATCTTCTCAGTGGTGTTCAGTGAACAGACAAGAGGCACAGGGCACAAATTGAAAGACAAGTACTTCCATCTGGACATAAAGAAAAAAATGCCCCCTTCTTTTTTGTTGTTTTTTTGTTTGTTTGTTTGTTTGTTTGTTTTTTAAACTGTGAGGGCAATTGAATATTGCAACAGGTAGCCCAGAGGTGCTGTGAAGTCTCCATCCTTCCGTATACTCAAAATCTGACTGGACACAATCCTGGGGCAACTTGCTACAGCAGACTCTGCTTTGAGCAGGTGAGTTGGATTAAACACTCCAGAGGTGCCTTCCAACCTCAACTATTCTACAATTCTTTGATGCAAACCAGAACAACTCTACAAGAAAGCTGTTCATATTTATTCTGTACCTGTCCAGTCTTCATTCTAAACGAATTACATAGAAAACATTTTATTCTGCATTTACACTCAATATAGTACCCTCTTCATGTTAAAAGGAATAAAGCATATCTTTTTTAAAAAAAATAGGTCTGCAAGAAGTGGCATACTTAATTTGGACTGCTGACTTTGGTAAATGTTGCTTAAGTTTCTAATGAATGATAAAAAGTTGTGTTTCTGTGGAAATAGGTAATTCTGCATATAGCTACATTTCAGATGCATACCTGTAGTCCCCAGAAACACCCTAGATGTTGAACTAATGCATTTTATCCTATTTGATCTTAAAGTTCAAAAGAACAAAAACATTATCTAGTGTAACAGCTATTATTCCTTCACTTACTTTCAAGAATGTAGTATCTTTGCAAACAACTAAATTGTCAGCTCCATTCAGTTTATCACAGAAGTTTTATTGCATGAAACTAATTCTAACTTTACTGATATACTGACTGTCGTTTCAAACAATGACCTTGCACTGGTTCCAACTTTTTAAAAAGTTTGAATTTGTAAGCTTAGTTTTAATCCAACTTGCTTTCCAGTAAGCTCACACTTGAATAAATACCTCCTTAAAACAAAACTTTTTTTTTTTTGCATTTAAGATAATTATCTGAAAACTATAGAGATAAAACCATATTAGTCATGTTCCAGATTAAAGTACTGTCTAAGCATAGGAAAAGCCACATCTTTATGGAATACCAGCCAAGCTTGAAATAAAATACACTTAAATACAGAAAAACGTACAGATAATAGAACTGTGTGTATTTAATTCGTTAAATAAACAATTTCTTACATTTTTTGAAGAACCTGGGCCATCACAACCCCATTCGTTAAATCTTCCACGGTCTGGCATGGTGCCTCAACATTAAACGTCTGGATCTGTGGGAGAAAGGAAAAGGTTATCTTCTTTTACTTCAATATCAAGAGATTTTCAAAAGTAAAAAAAAAAATGCTACCAAACAGTAAATAGAACAGAGTAAGCCCCACACATTTAGTGTACATGTTAGGAATTATGAAGCTTTAGATTTATAGGTAATTCTGCATATAGCTACATTTCAGACGCACACCTGTAGCCCCCAGAAACTACTGCCAGGGCTTAGCATCTTTGTTTTCGCAAACTTGTAAACTTTGCTACAAATAACAGCAGTACATTCTCCAAAAGGCAAATTTTCCACAGCATTTTCTAATTTGGAAAGTCACTGGGCCTTCTGTTCTTCCATTCAAGTACTTCTGGAGCGTATATTCAAGCACACTGCCAATGAACATAAGAAACTCAGCATTTAGGAGTAACACTGATCACACAAAACTCTCATAGGCTCCCCACAACCAGAAGATCAAACGTAGAGGGACATACATACTCCAAACTTAACTATTCCCTACTATCAGATGGAAGAGGAGAGCACAATGCTGCTAAATCCTAACAGGTCTATGCACTACTAGTGTTCTGAATATTTCAGGGTGGTTTATTAACACAGTGACAGACAGTAAGGCCCATATAATGGCAAGCCTCTGGTCTTCAGATGGAAGCTAAGATTCAAAAAAGCTGCTCTTCTGAAGGGGAATGGCAAGGACCATAGGACTGAGCTGTTTGATGACAGAATTACTTATGACTAAGGATGAGTTAGTCTGTAACAAATTCACCTCCACAGACTGCACACTGAACACCCTTTACTGAGACCAACCTAAGGTTAATTTTCTTAGGATGCTGTGTAATATTCCAGATTACAGAGGAGCAAGAATAATCTCTTAACAAAAAAACACCCATCAATACACATAATTTCTGTATGGCTTCTATTCATCAACTCCATTTTCATGCATATAGCATACAGGCTATCTGAAACCCTCCCCCTACCCTATCAGCAAATGTATAAATACACAAAGCAAAGCTCTTTTCTCCCTTCCTCCCTTGGTGTGGAAAAAAGCCTTTCTGCTTCAGCACAGTCTCTTCAACTGGCCTAAGGTATTTGATCATTTACTTTAAATGAACATTATTTTTAAAGGATTTGGATGAGTTCTGTGAAGATAGTTTTGATGACGTCATTTGAAGGGTATCTGCCTAATGCTCTCTGCTATTATCCTCCTCCTAGGGGAAGCCTGGACTTATTTGTAGGAAGCACTACTTGTATGCACCAGGGATAAGAAAACCTACAAGAAAGCTTGCAGCTTCAGGCTACATAAATGTTAGCTATATCAACCATTTTTTTCAGAACGTAATGTAATGTACAACCATTCATGCTTTAGTGGCGTTTGAAACATTAATGCTGGTCCAAGCCATTTCCCAATAAAAGTCCTTTTTTGAAGGGAAGGCTCTCAAAAAGTAGAGAGCACAATATCCAGATTCTCATAATACCTTTGGAGTGTCATGTAAGCACTCTAGCAATGCCATTTAACATTAATTTGGAGAACAAGCATCTAGGTGAATGTTCCTTTCTTTCCTTTACTCTGGAAGAAAAGAAACTAGCACTCAATTAGGATAAAAACCAGCAGTGATGTCCATGAAGAGCCAAAAAAATGACCTCTCAGAGCATGTTTGCTGAGCAAGTTCAACAGTGACCGACAAGGAGCCATGAATGATGTCCATGTTCCAAGAGTACAAGAACAAATTACTGTGTGGCATACAAAACAGACAGAAGTGACTTCTACACTTCAGATTCAGTAGATTTTCCTATGGCTTGGTCTGAGCTACCCAGAAAACACAGCTCCTCACTTCTTCTCCAGAGAATCAAGAAGCCACCATAGATTGCCAGGACACTAGGTGAAAATCAGGGTGGGTAGGAAAAAAAACCCCACACATGAAAACCACCATGTAACAGGATATAACATCAGATTACTATTTCGCCGGAAAATTGAATTTACCTACAGTCTCTGAATTGCAGCAATACTGTCGAAGGAATACAGAGACAATTCTGAGTCTGAATCCACAAACTCAGCAACACATTAAACAGGAAATAATACTTTCTAGCAAAAAAAGCTGCAACGACATCATGGATGCTTATGCTTGAAGAAGTTCAAGATGCTATAAGGATAAAATTCTCAAGCATAGACAATGAAAACTTGTTTCTAATTTTGCATATTATACCTTTAAATAATGAAAATTTAAATCACTGCTGCACAATAGGCAAATCAAAAAATCACTTAAAAACTACTACTATTATGATTTTTCAAAAATAGTCAAAAGTTAAATGCTCTTTTCAAGAGCATATCGAGGAGGTCTTCAAACAGACTGCAAACTAATCAGATTTTTTAAAATTCATTTTGAGTCTTGATATATGAAACACCTCCTTGACTAAATAAAAGCATACATAGCAGATAACACTACAATGATGAAAGAAGAAAGGTTGCTAAGCCTATTTCCATGACACAAAAACCCAAGATGCATACTCTGCTATTTTGTAACTAATTTTATCATCATACTTCCCCAATACTTTATACACAAGAAAAGGTCAAAACTGTCATTAAGGCTCAGGTAACCAGTCTAAACTCTTTTTTCCCCCCCACAATCACACATGCAAGACTGCCATTGAGGACAATAATGCTTTCATAGTCAGATGACAAAGAACAGAAAGAAAGACTAAAACTAATTATATGACTTGTTTCTTCACATACATTTAAATTTTGTAATAAATTTCTTTGCTTGCATAGGAAAGGAATACACTGCATAATATTTCAATTAAGGTGTCAAATTTATTCAGCTCTTAAAACAAAGGAACTATATCCTTTTCATATCCTTCAGAGATATGAAAGTAACAAATTTTCTTCAAAAAAAACCTACATAAAATAGCTTTACAAATTTATGTCAAAGTTAAACTCCTACACCATTCTCAGATAGTTCTACAAAATGCTAAACCACTCTAAGAAACAGTAGAGTTCAGTTTCCAGAAGGGAGAAGAATGATAAGAATGTGGCAATACAGAAGCAGAGTCCAGCTGTGGAGACAAAGAAGCAAATATTTTTTTGAGTGTGCCTCTAAACAACTATTCAACAACAGCTGTTAAAACACTGCCCTTCCTATGCATTGTGATGTGTTTCCTCCTGGAAGACTTCTCTCTCATCCTGCTGGAACTGTTTCTACTTCTGGAGTGTTTGCAATACTGTCCCCATCATTAGTTCCCCAAAGCTGTAAATTAATTCCTGTTCCCTGTTATGATTCTTTTTTTTCCACTTCTTGTACCCCTATATGGAGCCTTGACATCATGCTTGAGGGACAGGGTGCCATCCAGAGGAACCTGGACAAGCTCAAGAAGTGGGCCTGTGTGAACTTCATGAAGTTCAACAAGGCCAAGTGCAAGGTCCTGCACCTGGGTCGGGGCAACCCCCGGTATCAATACAGGCTGGAGGATGAAGGGATTGAGAGCAGCCCTGCTGAGAAGGACTTGGGGGTACTGGAAGTGTGGCCAGCAGGTCAAGGGAGGTGATTCTGCTCTGGTGAGACCCCACCTGGAATACTGCGTCCAGCTCTGGAGTCCTCAGCACAAGAAAGTCACGGACCAGCTGGAGCGGGTCCAGAGGAGGGCCACAAAAACGATCAGGGGGATGGAACATCTCTCCTATTAGGACAGGTTGAGTGTTGGGGTTGTTCAGCCTGGCAAAGTGAAGGCTCTGGAGAGACCTTACTGCAACCTTTCAGTACTTAAAGGGGGCTTTATGAGAAAGATGGGGACAGACTTTTTAGTAGGGCCTGTTGCGACAGGACAAGGGGTAACGGTTTTAAACTAAAAGAGGATAGATTTAGACTAGATATAAGGAAGAAATTTTTTATGCTGAGGGTGGTGAAACACTGGCACAGGTTGCCCAGAGAGGTGGTGGATGCCCCATCTCTGGAAACATTCAAGGTCAGGTTGGACGGGGCTCTGAGCAACCTGATCTAGTTGAAGATGTCCCTGCTCATTGCAGGGGGGTTGGACTAGATGATCTTTAAAGGTCCCAAACCATTCTATGGTTCTATGATTCAATCAGACAAGAGTCTGGGGGAAAAAGGGAAAAAAAACACCAACCACTTGCCCCAGTAGGCCTCACACCTTCCATCAACTATCGTGTAATGAGAGAAAAGGGTTCTTTTATTTCATTTTATTAAATATTAATCCAGACCTCTGATTCACATGGCCATGAACATGAGCTGTCAATTTTTATACAAAACTTAAAATAAGGAGTAGCAGGTGACTGTTTCAATGTGAAGGAGGCTATCACTGGGGACTAAATAATTGCTGCAGCAAGTCAGAACCTTACAAAATCCGAGCTACAGTTCCGGATTACATGTATGACTAGTGAGGATTTGTTAGCTACTAAGGATAGGAGGCAGAAATGTATTTCATTAAAAATACTCATGATATGAAGGTCAGAGAACTGGACATTCAGTTCTCAAAGACAGTAGCTGAGGACCAGGCTAAAAGTTGTGATGGGGAATCTAGCATCCCATGAAGCTGGAGGAAAACAACAACAAAAAAACCAAACCAAACCAAAAAGCTCTCCAGCACCTTTCCCTTCTCAACACTAAGAGTTAATGAAAGACCTGCTCTTTGCACAGTGATTATATACACAGCTTGGGTTTTATTGCTGGTGCAGTTGCGTAATAGACCTTTTATGTATTCTTTTGTAATAATACCTGAAATCTTTATTAGAGGTTCTTAGCAGATAAAACACTGTGTGACTGGTTACCTTATGCACAAACACAACAAAAGGTAACGCTCCGTTTCCAATTAGTTATTTATCAAAGCAAAGTACTCCCCAACCTATAAATGATCCTTTAGAATTACTTACCCATTATTTCCCTACATTTTTGGAACTGACTATGCAAGCTTACAACTAGCTGCCATGTTTAGCCTAGAACAATCCTGTATCACCACAGAAGAAACAGATCACACAGCTAAGACAGGGAGAAG